ATGAACCAAAGCTTAATATAGTGTTTCCATATCTTCTTCCTTAATTGATTAGTTATCCATTTATAAATTCTTTGGATAGGACCTTAAGCCAATTTGAATCTCATTTTGAGTTTGAGTTTCCTTAAATAACTTAATCAAGAATTTTGGACCTTTTTCAACTGCAAATTATTTATAATAACTGGAGTCTGGAAAAAATACATATGAAGTAATGAGTTTATTATTCTCATTCTCTCTCTCTCTCTCTCTCTCTCTCTCTCTCTCTCTCTCTCTCAGTACCATGGATGAACTCAGGGGCACTCAACCATTGAGTCACACCCCAGCCCTATTATGTATTTTACTTAAAGACAGGGTCTCACTGAGATGCTAAATGCCTCACCATTGCTGAGGCTGGCATTGAACTCATGATCCTCCCATCTCATCCTCCAAAGCCACTGGGATTACAGGTGTGTACCACCACACCCAGCCCCTATGTTCTCTTTTTCTGTACATATCCTCACTTAACTCTATTTATAACATAAAAGAGAAGGGAATCAAATCAGAATTGGAGGATAGAAATGGGATCAGAGGGGATCTCCATGTGTGTTTGTGTGGGTCCCTTGAGCAATTATGCTTAGGAAATATTTTGGAAACTGAAGTGAAGACCTGGTTTAGTAGCACACATACTTCATTTTCCTTATATAGACTTACATACAATCAAGTAGGACAAGATATCCTTTAATAAGGATAATAAGGAATTAGATTCCCTCTTTTATATTTGACTGCAGATAGTTTTTACCATTTTTCCTCTTACTTTTTTGCTGGAACCTTAAAGTCAGCCTCAGTGTGTAACTACCAGAAAAGCCAAGCTGGTCTCATATTTCTACTCTCTCAAAATATTTTTGGATCAGCTTGGGATGCCTACATGTGATGCTCTACCAAGAAAGACTCATTATGCAAATAATAAACATTTTCATTATCTCCTGTTGTGTGTGTGTGTGTGTGTGTGTGTGTGTGTGTGTGTGTCTGCCATCACAATACATGAGCCAGATTTGGGGTGGGGTGGGGTGAAGGTTTATTTCAATTCTGTGGGTAATATTATTATCAATCTTAGAAACAGTGGTTAAAAAGAAGATGTTCAAATAAAAGAATATAGTACTGCAAATCATTCCCCAAATCCAATAATGATTTCAATTGTGTTTTCCAAGAGCGTAAGTAGATAATAAATTTTTAAAAAATATTTTTTTTAGTTGTTGATAGATCTTTATTTTTTAACTTATACGTGGTGCTGAGAATTGCACCCAGTGCCTCACACATGCCAGGCAAGTGTGCTACCACTGAGCCACAGCTACAGCCCCAATAATGAATATTTCAAAGAATATAATGTGATGGTACCCACTAGATAGTAGGGGCCAACTCTCATTCCTAGGGATGAAACCAAAATTTTCCAGTCCAGGGAGATGGGCCTTTGAGTAACTTAACTCCCTTCTGCTTGAAAAGTAAGTCTAAATTCTTAATGACTGCCATTCTGACAGGAGTGAGATGAAATCTTAGAGTAGTTTTGATTTGCATTTCTCTAATTGCTAGACATGTTGAAAAGTTTTTCACATATTTGTTGATCAATTGTATTTCTTCTTCTGTGAAGTGTCTGTTCAGTTCCTTAGCCCATTTATTGATTTTTTTGGTAGTTTTTGAGTTCTTTATGTATTCTGGAGATTAATGCTTTATCATAGGTGGATGTGGTAAAGATATTCTCCCAATCTGTAGGCTCTCTCCTCACTTAATTAATTGTTTCCTTTGTTGAGAAAAAGCTTTTTAATTTGAATCTATCCCATTTATTGATTCTTGATTTTACTTCTTGTGCTTTAGGAGTCTTGTTAAGGAAGTCAGATCATAGGGTGATGTGGTGAAGATTTGAGCCTATTTTTTCTTCTATTAGGCGCAGGGTCTCTGTTCTAGTGCCTAAGTTTTTGACCCACTTTGAGTTGATTTTTGTGCAGGGTGAGAGATAGAAGTTTAATTTCATTTTGCTAAATATGGATTTCCAGTTTTGCCAGCACCATTTATTGAATAGTCTATCTTTTCTCCAGTGAATCTTTTTGGCACCTTTGTCTAGTATGACATAACCATATTTATGTGGGTTTGCTCTATGTCCTCTATTCTGTATCATTGGTCTACAAGTCTATTTTGGTGCCAATACCATGCAGTTTTTATTGCTATAGCTCTGTAATATAGTTTAAGGTCTGGTATTGTGATGCCTCCTGCTTTCACTTTTCTTGCTAAGGATTGCTTTAGCTATTCTGGGTCTCTTATTTTTCCAAATAAATTTCACGATTGCTTTTTCTAATCCTATGAAGAATGTCATTGTGATTTTAATAGGAATTGCCTTAAATCTGTATAATGTTTTTGGTAGTATGGCCATTTTGACAATATTAATTCTGCCTATCCAGGAGCATGGGAAATCTTTCCATCTTCTGAGGTTTTCTTCAATTTCTTTCTTTAGTCTTTTGTAGTTTTCACTGTAGAGGTCTTTCACCTCTTTTGTTAGATTGATTCCCAGGTATTTTTTGAGGCTATTGTGAATGGAGTAGAAATGCAAATCAAAACTACTCTAATATTTCATGTCACTCGTGTCAGAATGGCAATCATCAAGAATACAGGCAACAATAAATGTTGATGAGAATGTGGTGAAAAAGGTACACTCATACATTGCTGGTGGAACTGCAAATTGGTGCAACCACTATGGAAAGGAGTATGGAGATTCCTCAGAAAATTGGGAATAGAACTACCATTTTACCCAGCTATCTCTCTCCTTGGTTTATACCCAAAGGACTTAAAATTGGCATACTATAGTGATGCAGCCACATCAATGTTTATACCAGCCCAATTCACAGTAGCTAGACTATGGTTCCAATATAGGTATCCCACAATAGGTGAATGGATAAAGAAAATGTGAACATACTTTATATACAGAGTTATGAAAAATTGTGCTGTGAATGGATAATTATGATTGTAATGCATTCAACTATTGTCATGTATGTAAGAAATAACAAAAGAAAATGTGGTATATATACTCAATGGAATATTACTCAGGTTTAAAGGAGAGTAAAATTATGGAATTTGCCAGTAAATGGCTGGAGTCGGAGAATATCATGATAAGCAAAATAAGCCAATACCACAAAACCAAAGGCCAAATGTTTTCTTTAATATGTGGATGCTAATTCACAATAAGGTGGGGGGCACTAGGGAAGAATAGTATTACATTAGACAAGGTAGATGGAAGTTATGGGAGGGCAGGGGACAGGATGTTGGGATAGGAAAGATAGTAGAATGAAACAGACATTATTACTCTATGCATATATGTGACTGCATGACCAATATGATTCTGTAACATGTACACTCAGAAAAATGAGAAGTAATATCCCATCTATGTATGATATATAAAAATAAATAAATGCATTCTACTGTCATGTATAACTAATTAAAACAAACAAAAAATTAAAAAGTGTAAGTCTGGTTTTCTGTTCTCATCTTTGTTACTGGTAGATTTATCACTCCTGTGCATTACAGTCTAGATGTAGAAAAATTATGTTCTCTTTTAGGGCTATACCAGAAACATAGGTAATGACTATCTAGACATCTCTCAAGGACATACTACCAAAAACTTAGTTGGAGAACTAAAGAGAACGATTTGTTTCTAATTCTCATCTCAGGCTTGAATAATTAGAACTCACAGGAGATAGTTTAAGATATTAAAGTGGAGGCTATGGTTGCGGCTCAGTGGTGGAATGCTTGCCTAGCACATCTGGGACACTGGGTTCAATCCTCAGCACTACATAAAAATAAATGCAAATAAAACAAAGATAAAAAACCTATTTTAAAAAATATTAAAAATGGAAACTACATGACTATACTCAATAGCCAGTTCTGACTATTTCAATTTATTGATAACTCCAATTATCCTGCTTAAGTTAAATACATATTTTTGCATTTTTTTTCAAAATCCCAACTATTTTTATATAATAAAAATACATTTTAATAATTCCATCACTTTCTCTACCACTAAATCATATCAATTTATTTAATATTTCCCCATGAAATCTATTTGTGTATAATTTTGATTGGATTTGTTTGTCTTCCTTGCACTTTCTCAAGTTTCAGTTCATCTGTTCTAAAGTATCATAAAGATAGATATATCATAATAAGAATATAAGTAACATAGTAGAGAATTATAACACCCTGGAGTTTATAAATGCTTACCCTTTCAACATTTCCTTATTTATACTGGTATCTTTCTAAGTTGTTAATTTTATAGCACTGATAAAATAGCATAAGTAGACAGCTTTGGCTTACAGAATTTTTCTGTTTTTGACAGTGGTAGGTTTTGTCCTTAATTACTTAGATAGGCTGTATCTTTAAAATTTGGTGGATCCATTAATCTAGTTCATCAAATAATTTATAGAATAATAGCCAGAAGAGAAGGAGAAACCATTATATTTATTTTGGGCCCACTTCCTGATTAATTGTAAGCCTTGGTTAGTAATAGGCTAAATTGGCTATATGAATAAAAGGAAAAAAAAAACAAATTGATGCTGATTGATTCCCATTCTCCAAAGCTTGCTGATAGTTTTATGGACACATTCTTTAATTATGGGAATCAGGCAGACAATTGTCATTTGAAGAGCATTTTGACATAGGTATTGCAATATGGTGAGTTAGAGAAAGAATTCATTAAATAAAAGCATGACTCCTCCCAAAGAAAAATAATATATGTTTCCAATATTTTACATATAAAATCAAGGAAGGTAAAAATGAACTAGAGTATTATCATAAGTTGAAAGAGTTACAAGTGTGAAATCTATCAACTATAAATTTCAATCATAGCATAATGCTAGAACACTAATAGTCTGAAGGACCACGGATGTGACTACTAAAAAATTAAAAAGTATAAATATGCCCCGTGTTATATTTCTATTTCACAGTGCTGATCTGGACTCTGAATTTAAGGATCTGCTATTACTTACTGGTTTCTTCTGCAATGTGGAGCTAAGCCAATTCGGAATTCAGGTAGATATATAAAACCGTCAGCCTTGGAGTCCTATAAAAATTGGAAAAAGGAAAGAATAAATTAATATAAGGAAAATGCTGAACTGAGAGAGTTAGACTTTGAAATGAACACCTGATAGCCAGGTCACCAGTGTTATAATGAACAGTATTTTTCTAGACTGCTTGTTGAATAATGTAGTTTGCTTAGCATGCACTTGAAATAGCTTTCTGCAAAGCAAATGGACCGTGCAGTTATTAAACCAGCAATAGTAAAACCAAACTCTTACATTAATGATTGTACAAAGTTACTTCAAAATATGCAAACAGCTCTCAGCATCATTAGGGCATTCAAAGCAGACAAACAATTTACCAACAAAGGCCAGCAAAAACAGCAGTTATAGCAGCATTTAACACATTTCCAAAACTTACATTTTGTAATGTAGAATGGAGATCACATATACCAATTATTTCCTATTTCATATCTCTTCAAAAAACTCTAATAATGAAATTTCTATGCATGAAATTGTTTAGTGTATGACATAAGAGAGCAATATAGTCCTTTATTCCCTGTGACTTTATTATCTTTTATAAGCAACCCATCAAATTTCTAAGAAATTGTTATAAAATGATACATGGTTGGACATCTTCCAACTTATTTAAAGAGCTTAGTAAGGTCTGGTAATTGTAATTCTGTCCATGCTTACCAAGTCACTTGTTCTTTCTGAGTCACAATTTCTTCAAGGATAAAAAAGTGGAACAGATTATTGATATGTTGCAATGTTGCTAACATGCATTGTAATTGTCAGGGAAAAGATTCTACAGAAGTATTCAAGTTATGTGAAAATATAAACCTAGCAATAACTGAATTTAAAAAAATCAAAATTTCATACATTTAATAAAAATCTGACAAAGGGTCAGAAGGAAAAAATATAAAACTGAATCCCATGAAAAGTCACCAGAACTCTAATTAAGTTTGAATGAAGCTAATTAATTCTAAGACTATTTTATCAGTAAATTAAAAACATAGCAGATATAATTCACTGTTTTTTTCCTGTTTAATTTGGATAGGGATTAGATACATGATATTTATCATGTGGGATTATGAAAGAAGCATGAAATTATTTGGTATTTTGTAATTGCGCTTTAAAAATTTCAAGTATTTTAAAAATTTCAAATTTCACATTTGAAGTAGAATATTTTTCAAATTAGTTGGAAAATAAAGGTATATGATGGGAAATAAACTTTATTGAGGATTTATATGGTGGGCACTGTCCAAAGGCAATTTATTTATAGTAACTCATTTAATAATCACAATTATTCATCAATTCAACTTTTATCTATTGAGCACATACATTGTGTCATATGAATGAGATCAATGGTTGAACTGGTGAGGATGAGGTTGGGAGAAGCTGAGTTAGTACTTGTGAAAACTTATGATTAATGAGGAGAGAGACATTGATACAAGAATATAAATGACAAAGTAAAACGAAAAAGTGTGTTAAATGCTGGGAAAAGGGAGGTATATGATGCTATAAGAGCTTAAAAGAATTGATTAAGTTGGTACAGGGGGATCAGGGAAGCTATCCCTAAAGGAGTAATGTCCTAAAGGGAGATATGAAGGAAAGCTAGAAGTTGACCAGGTGAGAGGATCATGAAGTATTTCGGGAAGAAAGAATTACATATGCAAAATTTCTGTGGTTGGATGGAACATTACACATTAGAGAAAATAAAAGAAGGCCAGTGGAGCTGAAATGTAAAACTGCAGTGTATGTGGGACAAGATGTGACTGAAGAGGTATCACATATATATGTGTAAGAACAGGTAGTTCATGGTAAGCTTTTTTTTTTGGTGTAAGAATAATGGGAAGTTATTGATGGCTTTTCATGAGGATAGACAGAAAGCAGGGTGAGGGTAGGTAGTAAATATATGATAAAATTTGCATTTTGAAAAGATTTCCCTGTTTTGAGTGGAAGAACAAAATATAATGTGGCCAAAGAAAATTTGAGTAGTCAGGTAGAAACTCTTAAAATTTTTCAAGTGAAAGATAATTATAGCTTAGGCTAGTATGAAGGCAGTGAGTGACAATGGAGATAAATTGATAAATTTGAGCAATATTTTGGCTATATGATTGGTTAGGAGTAGATATGGATAATTAAAAATGGTTAAAGATCTGTAGGGGGAGAAAGAATGACTCCTTAGCAGAAAATCACAGGAAGGAGTCACCATTTTGAGGATGCCAAAATTATGAATTTTGTTTTATACACAGTGGACGCTCTTGAGATATCACAGTAAAGAGACTAATTGTATGATCTTTAATCCTGAAGAGAATTTTGGGTTATAGACATAAATATGTGTGGCCTCTGTATACAGATAGACACACATGGATAAAATAATCTAAAAAAATAGAGCAAAATAATGAGAGAACTTTATGTATATATTTTATAGATGGATACAATACCTTTATTTTGTTTGTATTTTTTAAAAATTTTTATGCAGTGCTGGGGATCAAACCCAGTGCCTCACACATGCTAGGCAAGTGCTCTACCACTGAGCTACCACTGAGCCACAACCGCAGCCCCCTGAAGAAATTTTAATGGCCTAAGAGAGTAGGATAATCCTGCAAATGTGATAGAGGAGGAGTACCAGGAGAAAAATATGGAGAGGTTTAGTAAAACAAGGTCTGAAAACGTCTGTTGGATTTAGCAACATGGACACTCATAATAACCTTACCAAAGTCATTTTAAAGGAGTAATGGAAATAGAAAAGAGATTGGAGAACACTTAGGAGTGAAATACTGAAGAAAGTATAAAGAACACTCTCAAGAATTCTAACATAGTTAAGGTGAAAGCTGGAAATTTCCTCTGAGTTCTAGATTTTTCTCCCCACTGGGGTAGCTTAATGACATATTTCAGTCAACATGTCCAAAACCAAGCTCATGACCTTTCTGTGCCACAAAACAAAACAAAAAATAAAAACAAAAAGAAAAAATAAACTCATAAAACACAAAACAGAAACAAAGAAAAACCCCTGGTTTTCTTGGTTTGCTTTCAAAACCATTGAAAGATGTCTTACTCATCTCACTTTTATTTAAATTAAAAGTCTCCAGCACATTTCAGTCTGTAGAGACGTATCTGGTTGTGAGGAAGAGGATTAACATATAAGAAAAAAAGGGATGAAAATATTTGGCAAGTATTATTATGTGCCATGAGAATGAAGAAAATGAGTCTCAGAGAAGTTAATTAACTTGCCCAATCTTTTCAATATAATAAATTTGGATTACAAAGCAGGTATTTTTTATTTCAAAACCATTAATTATATGCCTTTTTACATATCATTTTAAAGCAAAGAAGTAGCATCAATGGCCTACTACCTAACATTATATATTATAAGCATACCTTTATTTTTCAGAAATTTATATCCTTAATGCTAATATAAAGATTAAGGACTATTATGACTCAGTGAATGATTTTCTTTCCTTCCTGGTGCACTTACATTCAGGTGTGAGAACCAGTAGAGAGTTGAGTGTTTCAAAATAAACCAGTATCTTTTCCAATTAAAAAAGGAGATTCCTCTAGACTCTCTTTTTTTCCAAAGCCATCCCTCGCATTTCCCATGGCCCAATTCAGTACAGGCCATTGCACAAAATCGAGTTCTAAAACAAAACAATCGGTCTTCCTCAGAGAAAAATGAGGGCAAGACCCTTCTAAACCAAGACACTGCAAAAACAAACATAGGAATACAATGTTAATTTGGATACCATAACAATGTAGACTTTAATTACTATAACATTTTCATAAGTTTACAATAATCTAACAACCCATCAATATTTGACAAAATTTTTCTTCTCACTACAAATGACAATATCTATATCTTTTATTTATTTATGGTCATTTGTATTTCTTCTTTGTTAACTATACATTAGCCATTGTTTCTCATGGTCTGTTAATGTTGGTCTTAATGATGGAAATATTAAGGATATTTACCTTTTTACTTTCATATATATCACAAATATTTTCTCCAAGACGATTTGCCTTTGGCCTTCATTTATGACATTTTTTACATAAATAATTTTTGGTACTTAGTCACAGATAAGAATAACTTCTGTTTTCTGTTTTAATTTTGCTTAAAAATTCAAATCATTAATTCATCTGTAATGGTTTTTATGTATTATATAATACTGGGACCTGGATGTATTTCTTCTTCCAATATACAAATTTGGAGGGTACTGTTGTTTGAACTCATGGATGCTTTATCACTCAGGTTCATCCCCAGTGCTTTCTTTTATTTTCATATTTTGAGAAAATTTCTCACTAAGTTCCTAAGGGTCTTGCTAAGTTGCTGAAGCTATTATGAACTTATTATGCTTCTGACATTCTTCCATATCACATGTATTACAGACTTGTGCTACCATGCCTGTCCTTTCCAAATGTTTTAACAGTTGCTCCAAACTGTTTATTAAATGATCTGCCTTTTCCCCATTGATGTAAATTAATATCTTTATATTTTAAATTGTTTTATATTTTCCATTTTTTCATTCAAAATATCTTTACCTTTATTTTTGCCATTACAATAGTGTATTAGGTATCTTGGGTATTTAGGGTATATTAGAGTAGATTCTTTCCTAATATTTTAGAATTATTTTCTTAGATTTTTCTCAAAATTTTTTCCCAGATGAAATTTTAGAGTTACAGTTGACTTACAAACAAATTCCATTAAAATGATTAAAATAACATTACATTTAAAGTTAATTTGAATTTTGTCAAATTTATAATATTGAGTGTTCTAAATCAGGAATATGGCTATTTAAGTCACCAATTCAATACTTCTTTCTAAAACAATCTATTTTTCCTTATATATCTTATACATTTCATATTGCTTAGTATTATGTATTTTATAGTTTTGTTACTATTTAAGAAAAAAATCTATTTAATAGCTATTATTTTATTGTGACACAATGGATACTATAGTTTTAATCTCAACAATTTAGTCTTTTATTCTATATGTAGGTAAATAGCCTAAAACTATAAAAATTTTACCTAAAATTTAAATAATTTGTGATATAAGTGAAAGTAATTTATTGGACACAAATCAATGCTTATTTGTGTCAACATAAATAAAATTAAGAACATGATTGAGAACAGCATTTGGCTCACTTTTCTCATTATTTTAAAGCATCTCTGTACACTGGATATGATAATTGGGTATCAGAGAACTTATTTGTACTGAATTCCTCACTTCATGGGTTACTTTTCCTTAAAAGCCTTAAATAAATTTATTTAAGGTATCACACATTTTATTTTAAAAATCCAGCTTTCATTAATTACAATTGCCTTAATATGACATTGTAAATTTATAATTGCCCTTTGAAAGACTCATTACTCCAGAGTCCAGCTTGTAGCAATTACACTAATTACCAGATTATTGTTGTTTCATTCTGGACTTTCTAGGGTTCTACTAATATAAGCAAGTTATCCAGCATGTTTCAGTTGAGTAGTCCCTCATATTAAGTCCCTTTTATCGTAAAAGTATATATACTCAAAGTACAGGTCTCTTCATAAAGCTAAATGAAGCGCTACATTTTTCCTATGGTCAACTATATCTTAAGAGAAAATTATTAAAGAAAGCAGTGCAACAGAATTTGAAAATCATGGTACTGCTTATATAGTAGGCCACTCTTTTCTCATGGGAGTTTTCACAGATAAAATTATGAGGGGTGGATGAGGACTGGAAGATTCTAATACTCTCGAAAAACTGCTACCTCAAATTGTGGCTACTATCACTTCCTTCGACTGTTGGAGATTTTTTTTCCAGATAAATCATTTTCCAACAGGGAATTCTTAAGTAGAAGGAACATTAAAGAATGTCTAGTGCAATTCTTTGCATTACTGATAAAGAAATAAGGACAACAAATCTCAAGTGATACCTGCAATATTATTGCTAATTGGTGAAAGACCTTGACCAAGAATCCCGATCTTTAATTACAACTGATTCCCATTTTGCCTATTATTACCCCTCCCCACCCCAGATAGCTTAGGATCCCTATTAGAGCTGGTACTGGCTTCATATTAAGTATGAATGTTTTAATGATTTATTAAAATATCACTTTTGAAATACAGATTTTATTCACTGAAGGTAGATTGGGTAAAATTTTCCTGACAGCAAAAATCTGTTCTGGTATTAGGGGTAATTATAAAATGAGCTTCTTATAAAAATAATCTCATTACAATATTTATAAAACCCAACTGTCTGAAAAATAGGACCCCCTTTAGTGGAATGACAGAAAGCAAATTGGGCCCTCTATTTGTTTATGATTTATGCTAAAAGGAAGATGAAAAGTAAAGGCTTATGAAAAAATACCTTAATATCTATATACCATATTTTAATTTTCCCCTACTTGATAATTTTAAAAACTTAATTAGCAGTCACACAATTTACAATCTTCATTTTTTTAAACCTAATTTATTGTCCCACATAAGATACCCAAATTTACAATCTGGTCAGCTGTTACATCATTATAAACAGTTGAGCCCAGGCAGAAAACATAATAAAATAAATGAATTATTTTAGCTAGTACTAATTGCTTATTTAATATTAAGGTGTTCATCTTTAATTCCAGTAAAATTATTTTATGAAACTGGAGCAGTTTAAAAAGAGACTGACAAAAGGAGTGAAAAATGAAAGTTTGAATCATGTCCAATTCTTAGACCCCAGTGTGTTCACTCCCACATTCCTATATCAGGAGTATATAGGAAATTTTCATGTAGCATGCATGCATATATACCTGTTTGTTCATGTGAACATTCTTACAAAAATTCTTTAACATCTCTAAGATAGCCCATACTTCAATGTTATGCTTTAGCTCCCCAATATAAAAAGCAGTTGACAGAAATGCATTTATAGGAAACAGAAGGGAACAAAGCCAACAAATAGAGACTTACAATCGAACCAGCTTTGGGCTTTTGCCTTCATGAAAAAATTTATAAAAGCCTACAAAGAAAAGGACATGCAAATAATAATTATTTTGCTATCTCTGTTAGACCAGGCAATGATAACACGTTAACTTCATATAAAATTATAGAAGGAATATTAAAAACATATTAAAAACTAAAAAGAAATCACAGAAGAGTTTTAAAATTTAAATCAGGAGTTGCTAGTAAATGTATCCAAAAACTTTTCTATATGAGACAGAAATATATGAATTTTCTTCTTTAACCTTAATGTGATGAATTTGACTAATAGGCTTTCTTCTAATAAATTCTCCTTGAGTTGAGAATAGAATGATGGTTGGCATAAGCTGGGCACATTGTAAGGCGGGGGGGGGAAGGTTGATTAATGGGTACTATGTCACAGTACGGTGAACCTCTGGGGTACTATTGCACAGTAACAATTATATACTATACATTTCAAAAAGCCAGAAGAAATGATTTTAAAAGTTTTCCCTGCAAATAATTTACATGTTTGAGGAGATAAATCTGCTTAACCTGAGTCAAACATTATGCAACATATACTTGTACCAATATTACATGGTATCCCATTAATGTATTCAACATTTATGTTTGTGTGTATCAGATAAAAATACAAAAAATAAAAAGGTAATCAATTCTCCTTGAATTTCTGACGTAAACCCTATTTCCACACATTGTATTTTTCTTTTAATATGCTACTGGAATTGCTATTACATATTTCAAAATTTTGCATTTATACCATTAATTGGCCATGACAAAGATTGTCATTTTGTTTTTTGTAGCAAGATAATGCTATTCAAAAAAGCTTACATAATTTTAGAATGACTATTAAAGTGTGAGAAAATATGGTTCACAAAAATTTTATGTTAGCCTATTGTCACTGGTATGCTAATTTTTCTTGAGTCAATTTTAGTGTTTTATATTTTTCCTGGAAGCTTTCCATTTAAATGTATGTATAACTTTGAATGATGACAAGATTAATAAAAACACAAGCTGGAAAACTTAAAATTCTTCTGTAATATACCCATCACCTGTAGTTTAATTCATTATATATCAGTAAACTCTATTAACAGTTCATACTTCCTACTAAGACGTTTACTACACTCTCATGTTTGGTGCATACATGAACCCAACATTTTTAAGTTAACAATAAAAACCCACCACTATTAAAATAATAAAACTAAATCTATAATTTAAAACCTTAAAACAGTAATAATTGTACTGATATATCTAGAGTAGTAAGAGGGTAGATTTGACTTGCAATATTTTACCAAATATTTTTTTTAATATTTATTTTTTAGTTGTACAACTACAACTAAAAAATTTATCTTATTTAAACTACAACTTTATCTTATTTATATGGTTCTGAGGATCGAACCCAGGGCCTCGCATGTGCTAGGCAAGCGCTCCACCACTGAGCCACAACCCAGCCCCTTTACCAAATATTTATATAAGACTTCTAAATTCGTAAACTAAGCAACATTTTGAGTTATGCATCCGTTTTACTGAATAAGGTGCCTGTGTCAAATGTGTATATGCAATGAGATCTTCCTCTATTAAAAATATCTGATAAGACATTTAGCTATAACATTCTTTACATTGCAATGGCATTTGGTGGTTTCATATAAAACTCATAATTCAGACTAAATTTTTTTTTAAAAAAATTTATCTTTTAGTTGTAGTTGGACACAATACCTTTATTTTATTTATTTTATGTGGTGCTGAGGATCAAACCCAGGGCCTCACACATGCTAGGCAAATGCTTTACTGCTGAGCCACAACCCTAGCCCCAGAGATTAATGTTTTTTTTTTTAATTTTTAAAAAAATTGTAAGCAAGTGCTATTTAAAGAAATGAGTGTAGTTTTCTTCCTTATGATGCCTTTTTCCAATATTTTTCATTTATTTTTCCATTCCTGTGTTAACAATGCCATTTCCCTTTTAATTTTGGAAGTAGAAAAAATTTAATTATATAATATTTTAAATTTTAGACTATTTATTTATAGAATTTCTAAAGTGTACACAATTATTTTCTTATTCATTGTCTCTTCTGATCATGTAAAAATCCTATAAATTCAGTATATTAAATCTAAATTTTCCTATGTTACAGATGAGAAAATAATTTCAGAATGAAGCAGTGTTTTGTCTATGATCACAGTCAATGGCCTAACAGGAAGAGCCATTTCCCCTGAATCTGTATTTCTTTAACCTTATCCCAAGGATTTTCCCCACATAAACACAAATTTACCTATTATTATGCCTGACACAGAGCACATATTGAATACATGATAGAAATTAATATTATTATTTGAAATGAAAGCAGTCAATAATACAACAAACAGAAGGCCAAACATAAAATATTAAGATGGAATACTCAGAGATGTAGGTTTCAAATGATTTCAAAGTTTTTAAACTCCATACATAAATGTGTCTCATTATGCCATTAATTTGACAGTTTGAGAGTTCTTGGACCAAATTACAGATGCTTTTCCTTTATGAATGCCTTAAATCAGACGATTTTTTTTCTTTGTCACGGAACTCTGGTTTAGTTTCCAGAGTTTAACTGAGTCTGGTTAAATTTATGAACCTATTTTCAGAATAATATTTTAATGCATAAAATAAATTACATAGAATTACAACAGAAATCAGTTTTCCTTAAATAAAGTTCTCAAAATACTGAGATAATTTTCAATTATATAAACATCTATCAGCAGATTTAATGATTATTACAATTTTGAAAGAATGGTTAATATAAATTATTCATTAAGATACATGCAATAACTAGTATGTGATATATAAATGTGGTATATTTTGGGGAAAAGGCACAAATATTATGAATACTATTTTGCTTTACTGTTTTATTCATTTATGAATGAAATGTTGTTAAAGTTCAGCAAAATTCAATGTATATAAGATGCATTTTTAACTTTCCACCTTCATGGAATCCATTGAATTCTACTTGTGATAGAATGTTTGATGGTCTGTGGACACTAGCTGGAGAACTCTTGCCCTAAAACAAAGTCCACCAGCCATCAAGAACCATCAACTGTCAGAGCAATTCAAGTCAATTTTCCTATTTCCTCAATCTTAAATTGAAAATGCCAATGTTTTTAATATATATAATATGTTATAATATAGTATAATATAATTTTTGGAAGTGGGTATAGAAATAGAATGGAAGAGAAAGACCATGATAAACTGAAAACTGATCCAGAAAGAAGAAAGAGAATTCAGGGGACACACAGAAACATAAAAAAAGAAAATATTATCTACATTTATTTTGAGAGAAATTCAAGCAGTTTTCCATGAAAAAGGAATTACTCAGTACTAATAACTATTTCTTGGAAATGTGATTTATGATTGCTAAACTATTGAAATAAAAATCAGAGTTCAAGGCAACTGTTAAGCTATATTTTATTGATGGTCTGAATTTAAAGTTAATGCTATGCTTCCTTTCTTTTAAGTCCTTTTGTTTCATCAGATTGGTACTTAAAGAAGTTCTAGGCCTTTCGGGCAGGTGTAAAAATTTCATTTTTGTCTTCTGGTTGCAGTGCAGCCAGCACTTCACAGGAAAAGAGAAAAAAAGAGTCATTTTGGTATCCAACACAGTTTACTGTTTAGAATAGAGGTATGAATCCGGATACGTGTTAATGTCTTGTCCATTAATAAGGAAGTAGGTTTTATTTTTTCCACAAGTATTTTGTTTTCCTCTATACTATTGCAGGCGTTTTTGTGGGAAGAGTATACTTTGTTCCATAAGGAAACATTTGGCAATTTCTAGAGACATGTTTGGTTGTCATAAGTGGCATCAAGGTAGAGGCCTAGAATGCTACAAACACACCCTACAATGCATATAACAGCCCCCACAGAAAATAAAGATCTGACCTGAAATGTCAGTAGTTCCTAGTTTGACCGTTTATGCTTTAGTTAAGGACTGCAAAAGAAAGGATAAAGTGGTAGAATTGTCAAACTACACCCAAATCTCTAATTATAGAAATTTTGTTTATAATTAGTTTAAAATAGAGATATCTCTATCTGCACCCTATACTTTGAGAAGTCTAATATCTATTGAAATCTATTCATAATATTGTAGACTATCTACTTGATTTACAATATCTTGATTTAAAATATCTTTAGAATGACATTTTCTCTAAAATTATACACTTTGTGTAAAAAAAATCAAAGCATTTGACAGTTTAGTTTTTTCATTATTTGGGTTGACTATTTTGATGTTTTGACAGGAATAAACTGAGATTATGACAAAACACCTCAAAGGCAAAATTGAAATACTAATCTCACTTTCTACTTTAAAAATGCAGGAAATCATTTTGAAATATTAAAGAAAATATAGAGAAATCTCATTTGAAGATTTAAGACAATTATTTTATCAAAATATCTAATTTATTTTAAAATAATTTCTCTAGAAGGTAGACAGGGAGATTTAATTTCTAATTAAAATTTTAAATAGAAACCATTAACATTTTATGAAGTGTCTTTAAAAAAATTTTATTCAAAAATAATTTTACTAAATTGTTTTAAGAATTAGCTTTATCATTTTGCTTTATTTTTCAAAATTATCATCAGGTAGATATAGTGGGCAGTGACAAGCTAAGGAATTATATTTTTAAAATTGAGAAATTCAGAGTTTCACTTTAATTTTCAAATCAGATGCTTTTACTTCATTAGGTATAAAACATTTCTACAAAAATTAAAATTAGGATTAAATAGAAATTATTTAAGGAATAATTAGAGGTTCTGTGACTAAAATCATAATTATTATAAGAGGTCAGGCTTTAAGAAAAGTTATCACTTTAAATGTTGTTTATGTAATAATAGTGAAAACAGCTATTCAGGAATAATGTATCATCAAGAATTAGGAAATCCTGGTTTTAGTATTGCAATGTTTCCAATTTACAATGTGAACTTTGGTGTATCTCATGACATTTGCATTCAAGTTCTTCCGTGCTATCTAGGATCTAGAATAAAGTGTGATGATTCCTAAAATAGGAACAAAATCAGATGCA